AAAAAATTCTGCAAAAGGTGTTGTTTACCTAGTAATTTTTATATACTTTCTAGTTGTGCAATGGCCTACCTCATTTAGTTAGGACAACGAGTGTTGTAAAGCGAGGTATTAAAAAGGCATTATTCAAAAATGTTTGCATTGCTTTTGTTTATTCATTGCAACATTTAGTTTTTCTGCCTGCTTCTGCAACCTTCTCTCTTGTATCTCTTTCTTCCACCTGACAAATTCTACTCTGCTCATTCACTGATCTAGCTGCCCACTCAATGTACTCCGTGCGTTTCTCGTCTGCTAGCTGGCCAAGCCATTCCCCAGTCTTATTTTTAGCTCACCTTGACATCGTCAAGCTGAGCTATTGCCATGGGTCGTACGTCTGTCCGTCCGTCCGCCCGTCCTTCAACATTTGCGCTACGGTCAACGATAACAATTGGGTTGTAGTTGTTTACTGCTATGCTCCCATATTAAACGTCCTATTTTGAGGCACGCAGTCGACGTACTTTCGTGCCACGGCAATTTTTAGCAAAAATGGGAATTGCCATTAGTCAGTTCAGGTTCAACAGATTTTGCTCATTTTTGGTATGTGAATGAATAAGGGCTAGGGGTTTTGATATTTAAAATAAATTGTGCAAATTAGGTAGGTTTATGCAATTTATGCAAAAAAACGCAGAGAACAAACAGTCTATGGTGTCACACTCGTCTGGTTCGTTTTACAAGATTTCATTGACAATATCTTTAATGCAAAATTGCTATTTCCTTTCCACCCTGCCGATAAAATGTCTATATTAGAGTAAAGTTTTACAAAACATGTCAGAACGCAGCATAACCTATTTATTTCGAACGCCATCGCTACAAAGCGGGTATAGCGCCATCTACCGTCACAAATTGTGATTCGTTTTGGTTTATAAATTATTATTGCGATATACAGATGGCAACCGTGTGCTACCGCCTAGAAAAACTCATACGAAGTAAACACTTCCATGCAACCAATTAACCTTTGATAAAAGTTGTATTATGGGCAGGGAAACACTATTGTTAAGTGGTACATAGCAGCTACGTTGAATAAGCGTATCCTCTCAATCTTAGACGTTACACATCAGGAGCTCCGCTTTTAGGCAGTGTCTAAATCTGAATATTATAAAAACGTTAAATGGCGATAATTTAGGTGTAACGCCATCACTCGCCCTCATCTCAGACTTTCACATCTCAAACATTTATTTTCACATAAAAAATTACACATATAATTATCAAGAGTATATAATGAGAGTTCTCCCATATATACTCTTAGTGTCTATAATGTACGTCGATGGTTGCTCAATTAAAACTGACTTCTTCTCACTCACTCATTTGTGTTATTTTTTGTGGTGAGCTACAGTGTCATTGACACTTTCATTTTGTACATAATTAATCCTTCTATTGCTCTTGTGGTGGCATTTGGCTTTTCTTTTAGAATTCTATCTAACATGCCAAAATCTCTTTCTACACTATCATTTGTTGTTGGAACTGATTTAGTTGTTATCCTATCTTCCTCTGTATGCTTAGTATGAACCTCCCTCTAAGTGATCTCCTAACATTCTTTGTACAATGACTAATAACGAGGAAAAGATTAATTCTAGGGCCTGCTTTGTCTGTTCATCGCACACTCGCACACTGCATTCCACTATCAACGAAGCTTCCCCAAACAACTTCGCACTACCGTCTACAAGCTCCATGCTATCATTTGTCCACTTCTCTAAGCACACGTTAAGTTGTTGATAAGCTTGATTCATATCATAGATGTGATCTACTACACAAATTTTTCTCCATAAGGCGCTGGTAACCAGTGTTCGCACTTCCTGAGGCTGCAGGGAGTTGACGACGTCTGCGGAATTGATAAGGAGCTTGAGCAGCTTCGAAATCGACGTGATCTCCATCTCCAGCTCGCAGTGGAGCAGCAAGGAGAGAGGGACCACGATCGAGGTGCCGACCCCAAATGCCTTGTCTTTCTCCGCTTGCAGAGCGACGTTGATGTTTTCCATCAATACGTTAAGGGCTTGGGGGTTCATGCAGCCCTTTGCGGCGACGCCCCCTTGACAGTACGTCTCTACTGCTTTCAGCGCCCCCTGAAGTCTTGCCTGGGCTGCGAGCGTCTCTGAGAATATACAGTTTACCACACACGTTCTGGAGTTGGATCTACTTCATCATTTCCACGTGAACTCGCATTCGTGTTTACAGCAGCCACACCGGCCGGATCTTCCTTTCGGAATTTCCGTTGTGGGACATAGATTCGCCCCCTAGGGGCAACATCCATCTGTGAAGTGGAAGCTTCCCCAGACTGGGAAACGCTTTGCTTTCCACGTCCCTTACCCTTACCCTTTTGATCCTGAATATCCGGATGCAGGGCACGGTGCTTAGCAACCGAGATAATCTTTTGCTCAGACTCAGACAGAGCCTGAAAAGAAGTGTTATAGTGGGCCTGGATGACTTTAAATTCACCCAGAGCGACTGTCCTTCGTTCTAGGAGCGCTTCAAGTGCCCTAGTCTGGCAGTCGCTCAGACCGCAAGCTACTAAGGGATCGGTTATATTATCTGAAATCTTTAGGCTGGCCCTACCGGCCATAGTCAACGCGCGATGTGACTCAAGGTACTCGAGTCTCACATCCCACGTTATCGTGCCAGCCTCGGAGAGTTCCGGGGGAACCCCCTCGGGGGCTTCTGGAACGCCGAGCGGCTCGGCGGCAACAGTCCTAGGCCTCTTGGGCCTAGGGCCAACGCGAGGAGGGGGAACCAAAGGCTCCTCCCCATCTGTCACGGATTGCCCGGCGGCCAAACCCCTAGTGACAGCCTCAGCGTACGTTGCCGTACCCCTTCTGGGTGGGCCCCCTTCCTCTTTGAGGTTTAGGCCCCACTAGAGACAGCAGCCTGGAGCTGCCTCTGGGCATGTGGCCGATTTCCAGCACAATAATATCGACTTTCCTTCTATAAATGTGTTACCCGTGATCGTTAGGGTCAGCGTATGTTATTAGAGATACCGCTGTTTACATCATACATAAAGTAGTCAACAATGAGTTACGTGTTCTAAAGCACAAGCATCTTTACTCAAATTACTGCACATATTACGGTAACGTGGACGCCCCTTGTAATGGGCGTCCCGTGAACAGAACGGTACGCGACACAACATGCACTTACATATAAATCGGTGATGTAGTTAGCTGGTGCGGCAACAGATAAGTAGACTTGTCTCGACTGAGTGCAAGCTAGTAGCCCAGAATGAGCGCGCCGTGCTGCGTGAACAAAGGTTATATACTGCTTCCTCTCCTATTGTGTTAGGGTATGGTCACGCGGCATGGGTCGCTCTCTCTCTCATTGGCGGCCACGTACGGGGTCAGCTGCGCGTTTACACAAAGGCTTGCCCCGTACACTGACTACTTAGTTATTATGCAATTATCATATTTCTGTCTTATTTTACTATTTCTGTATTACATTACCACCCAGGGGTAATTTACAGCCTCTCTGCAATAGTGCAGTGGCCAGGACACCATACGCGGCAAGCAGCAAAGTATTGCCGGTTACCTGTATAGTGGAAACAAAGGCATTGAGATCTAGGGACCTCTGGTCCCTTCTCCCAGTGCCAGGTGCATTCGGTGGACCGGGGTTTCCCCGACTTCTTGAGTGTGACCGTGCATTGGTTCCACCCGCCCGCCTGGGGTTTTGCTTAGCAGATGTGTCTCCGCGATTAACGGTGAAACCCTCAGAAGTGGACGGGAGATCCTCCGCAGGCCCCGATGGGGTTTGTATGGTCTCCATCAGCTCCTCTCGACGAGTGGAGTTATCTTCAGTTAGGGATTTAGCCTTAGGCTGTAGCCCCTTCTTACCTACTCCTTTACGCATTATATAAATAATGTATGGGAGTAGGAGGTGCAGCTTTTCCAAGAAAGCTGCTCACAGTCTATACGAAGTATAAACTGCTTTCCTCATCCTCATCCTCATAAATAACTACATAATTATCCCCATCCCGGTACCACACTTGGTCTCCTGTATCCTCCTCATTCCATAAATGCTCTATATTCTTACCAACGTAATACTCTGGCTCTAACTCTATCTCCAGTAACTTTCCCTTTTTCATGTATTCATGTAACTGCTTCAAATTCCACACAAATATCTCTTTATACCCAACATACCTAATCCCATACCTTGAGCCAACCCTTACTAGTACACCAGAAAACCACTCATCTTTTCCCTGCTCACTGCACAAATGTTTTACGTACTTACCCACTATTGCCCTCGGATCGCAACTTGGCACATTTAGACATGCTTTAACACGTTTTCTTGCTGGCTCACTAGTTTCTTTCTCTGTTATACTTCTTATCAAGAATTATAATCATGGTAATGATGGTATGGTTATTTTCAAGTTTCTTTTTTTTTACTTCATTTCCTTCATCTTTCAACTTTCTTTTTACATCGACTGAGCAAGTTCAGAACTTCAGAGCGTGTTTTTAGTTACTTTGAGTATGTTAAAAAAACTTGTACTGGAATCTCTAGGAATGCCGGGAGCTTCTGGGCAAGGTTTTACTTTCGTTTTTCTCCTCCCCAGTCCAGGTTACCCCCATGCATAGATCAATGCTGCCGCACATGTGTGCGGTGTGCGGGCTGCCGGCGATGTAGCAATCGATTTCTTAGACTGTCGCGAGTTTTTATACGTGTGGCGAATCATGTGTTGATGCGTTGAGTGTGCGGCGATTATCTAGCGTGATTCGTGCGGCGGTTCTAGCGTGCGCGGTGATCTAGCGTGCGGCGTGATTCTGAATGTGTTGATTTGGCGGCAATCATGCATGCACGCAGCGGCACGTGCGCTAGCTGTCAATCAATGGTTGTGCATGCGTTGTTGATTACCCGATCGTTATTCAATGCCGTGCTTGCGCGTAGCCGTGGGAATAATTGGCATGTAATTTGTGTGGATTTAGCATTGGATCTTGATTTATGCAGACTCTGGATAAATTGTTTTTATATTTTTGTCACTGTCAAAAATGGCATCGATTCGTGTAGTTACTGTGGAAGGTTGGATTAAGGAGATAGACCAGAACAGGGAATGGATCGAGTATGAAGAAAGTGGTGGGAGGATAAACATCATTAGGTGCAAGATGTGTGTGGCACATCAATCGAGATTGAGATCGCTACGTAATTTCAACCAGGCATTTATCAATGGAGTGAAAGGATCGGCGGCCCTGAAAAAGGATAGTGTTGTGAAACATTCCCGCAGTGAAATGCATAAGAAAGCAATCGCTCTTACATTAAATCCTAAACTGACGCTCGATGCTATCTTCAAGACAACACCAATAGGAAAAGCGTTGGCTGGAGCATCAGGTGAGGAAGAGAAACGCGTGAGTAAACTCTTTGACATTGCATACACTATCGCTAAGGAAGAACTGCCTTTTACAAAGTATCCTGTTGTTATTGGGTTAGAGAAGAAACATGGAGTTCCATTAGGCAACACATACACACATGAAGCGAAGTGCAGTGAGTTTATTGGTGTCATTGGTGATACAATGAAGAGTGAAATGCTCACTGCTTTGAAGGAAGCCAAGTTTTATTCCATAATGTGTGATGGTTCTACTGATGCCAGTGTGACTGAGAAAGAACTTGTCTATGTTCATTTTGTGAATGATAAAACTGGTGAGGTCCAGTCAAACTTCTTTTGCCTTTCTGATGTTAAGCATGCTACAGCACAAGGCTTGAAAGATGGGTTGGATGAAGTATTTACTGATGTAGATATGTCAGTGAAGGGAAAGTTAGTCTGTGTTTGTGCTGATGGGGCCGCAGTGAACATGGGAGTAAAGAAAGGTTTGATTGCTCTTCTACGGAATGATGAAATGCCCTGGTTAATCGGGATGCACTGTCTCAATCACAGACTGGAACTGGCATCTAAAAATGCCTTTGAGAACACGTACATGGATGAGATCAATAGCATGCTTCTGTCCTTGTATTATGTGTATGAGAAGAGCCCAAAACGCCTGCGAGAGTTAAAGACTTTGGGAGAAGTCATGGAGGAAGCTGTCACTAAGCCAGACAAGGCTCATGGAACAAGATGGCTACAGCACAAGTCCAGGGCACTTGCCTCCCTTCTGCGGTCATATCCAGTCATTGTTGCCCATCTTGAATCTATGGCCAGTGAATCGTCAGCAGCTGCTGATGGTGCTAGATTTCGTGGATACCTGAAGGTCTTAACCAGTTTCAAGTTTGTGTTGCACATGCTGCTGTTTTTTGTGCTGTTGCAGCCATTGGCAGCACTTTCCTGCAATCTTCAAGGAGAGTTAGCGGACCTTATGTTTGCCATGGCCAGTCTTGAGTCATTCCATGCTTCCACAGCAAACATTGATTCTGTTGAATCAGAGCATGAGGACACAGAGGATGTCTCTGAACTGTCAAAGTTCCTTAGTGACATCACCTTTGAAGATGGCAAGGCTGAAGTGGAATTCAAGAACGTCAAGCTGACCAATGTGAGGATTGACGTCTTGACTGCTTTTCACAACTCTAGAAAGACATATGTGAAGAAGATCAGAGAGTGTGTTGATACAAGATTCTCTGACTTCACTTCACAGCTGTTTCAAGCATTCAAGGTGTTGGACACTAATACCTGGCCAAGGGACAAGCCTTCACTTGACCAGTTTGGTCACAAGGAGCTTAGCACAGTGTTTGAGCATTTCAAGGGTTTGCTTCAGGAAGTCCAGCGAGAATCCATCCAGACTGAATGGAACTCCTTCAAGTCATACTGGAATTCAGTTCTGATGGACTTGCAAAGCTCTGATGTTTGGAGAGCATTTGTCAAAGTTTCACCAACCAAGTACCCCAACCTTGGTCTTCTCATCAGGGTTTTACTCACCTTTCCAGTCAGCAATGCCAAGGTGGAGAGAGGATTCAGTACAATGCGCCGAATCAAGACAGACTGGAGATGTAGATTAAATGCTCGCACTCTAGATCATCTCATGAGGATCAGCATCGAGGGACCACCTGCCGTTGACTTTAATCCTCAGTGTGCTGTCAAGGAATTCTTCAGCACACCTCGCAAACCAAATGTGCAACCCTACCAAGGTAGCAGCAAGCGGCAATATCCAGTTGATGACTAAATGTGAGAGTACAGTACACTTTAACTTACCGGCTTAGTATAATTTCATTTTGTCATTGTGTGCGGTGTAAATTTGCATTGTGATTGCCTGAAAAAAAATGCTATACCAATTTATTCAATTGCTATGCAAATTTTTGGCTGGAAATTGTTCCCTGAAAGGCATTTGAAAATACCTCCAATGTTGTTCAAATTCTCCGATGTTGTTGACACTTTCGCGTTGCTCTGCCAAGCAACCATGGAGCGGTGCTGCGGTACAGTGGTACGGGTGTAGCAAACATAAAAACATGTGAGGTCACCTAACCGATTCTTGGCGAAATTGTTTGGCAAACAATTTAGCGTTGGCGCCAGATTACCAAATTTCGCACTTCTTTCTTGTGGGTTTTAAGCAAACGCACACTGAAATGGGAGGAACTAGAATTTATTTTGCTATAAGGTAGTGTGGTTATGCATGACACGAAGTATTTGCTAGTCTAGTACTGGAGAAATTAGCGTTTGGATGCGCATAGTGCAGCTTTAAGACCAAATCCTATTCTTTGTCAACTCAATTCATTATTACTACTGCTATAAGCCTCAGTATATTGTATAAACAGACATAGACTAATAATCAATTGTATTATGCTAGAACATGCTTCTAAACTTGGACAGTTTCCAATAGAAATACTGGTATTAATGCACACTCCCTTTATTGTTTACAACTGGCACCGTACTACCACGCCACCCAGCGGAAGGCAGTGGAATCTCAGACATGACCCATGTCCCTGGAACTTCCTTAATTACTGGCAAATTGCACCAGTTTGAACAACATCAACAGGTTTCATCTAAACCCAATTACACAGAGAGCAACTTGCATGCGTTCCCTTTGATAAATTATCTCTATTACTGCGGTAAATATTTGTAGCGCGACTAGGCGATGCCGGTTCCGCCATCTTGGCCATTCCCCCCAGTCGATTCCTTTGTCTAAAATTGGTGAACTAAATCGCCAATTTACTCTATGAAGGCGATAATTAATGAAATGTTGACACACTACACTTGGTCTATGAATATCTACAATTGGAATAATGACACTGGTGATCTTACCTGAAAGGGACAAAACGGGAAATTTGTAAACGAAATGGGACCGAAAAGTAATGACGTTCGTTCTTCACTCTTTATTTCGGCAGACAAACGGCCCCTTGTCAACTGCCCGTGCGCGAGCATTTTCCCCGCCATGCACCGTCCGGTGCTGCCCCCTCGTGTCCCAACGAAGAACTGAACCACACTGTACAAACTTTTAGGGCCCCCATCCATTTCGCCACACATAGACTTAGTTGTCGTGTAAGTCTGACTGCAAGCGTTTTGGGAATTTGTAAGATTTATAAGTTATAGCAAAATTAATTTAGCCTACCTGTCTCTGTGCGGTCTGCCATGCCAGAGGTGTAGGTGTTTTCCTATTATTGCTATCTACTATTAAGTCCTCACATATTCTATTGTATCACCTGAAATAACAATAACTAAACAACTGAATTAACTTCACAGCTAATATTTACAGTCTGATTTGTCTTTTCTCTCTACTTAATTAGAGGAGTAATAGGACTGTTGGAGCACAATGTAATTTTCCAAAATTCAGTAGGTCAGTTTTTATCATGTGACATGCATGGTACACAGTTTTACACATGAAATTCTCGAAAGCAATTCTTTCCTTCTGTAAAGCACAAAAATACAGCACACTTTACAAAAGGTGTTTGTCTTATTTGATTTGCATTTGCTGTTGACTGCTTTGTCTTACTGCTGTTTATTTACCCGCCATAATAAGAGCCTCGATTTCAATACCTCTTCTCCTACACCACCTTCATCTACCGACTGTAATTATTATCAATTGGAACACTAAATATATGGATGGGTTATACAATACATCCCTCTTTTCCTCGAATCAGAATTATGACACGATTAATGATTTCACATGCAGGACATATCTATATATGAATGTATTTCTATATCCATATATATTGAAAACATTTCTCAACAATGAAAAGAACTCTACTGTTCAAACTTCCTTGTGTAAACTATTCCTTGTATCAAAGTCATTCAGACTCATCATGCAGACCAGTATTACAACCAAACAATAGAACGAGTAGTATCCAAAATCGCTATTCACTTTGAACTGCGCCCACAACAAAGTCCTTAAATCTCTTCGGTGCTGTTCGCACGTGCAAAGGTCTCTTCGGGGTCATCGCTTCTGCTGGAGCTTCAGTTGCTGGATTCCCCTCCTCTGGTATCTCATCTGGTACGATGTTGCTGTCCTCATCATACTCAGCGAGTGGGTGAGCTGGTCGCCCGTTGTACTTCTTTACAGTACTGATGTAATTTTCTTTGTCATCATCGGAAACCCAGCCATCTCCACACATTCTATATACAGAGATATCGCTTGACAGTAGCTGTTCACGAAGTTTTGAAGTAAACTTTGATAAAGGGGATAAAATCGCATCAAAAGTATCATATTAGCACAGATCGAAACAATGCTGCTCCGTATGTGCGAAAGATGCGTATTAGCTGCATTAGACAGCCAATATTCTGTTTGAATTCCGTGTACAAACTGGAGGAACGAAGTAACATTGCTGAGATACCAGGAC